GGGGGGGGGGGGGGCCTGGGTGCGAATGTTTGAGGAAATAGTAGGTAGGCCTACCTCTAGATGGCCGGAAATGACACTCTTGTAACAGTAAAATTCATCATCACCACATTACCATTATTTCTCATTATCTTTATATATCAGCGATTTTCGCAAATATGGAGGTCTAATTAATACGTGTGATGTACCATAGAAAATAAAACTTTAAAAAATTGTCTTGATGTAAACACTTACTTTACCTACTCTAAGCCGTGAGCCAACACGCACTTCAGCCCACCATGGCTGGGGCTGAGGTGCGAACAATTTAAGGAAATAGTATTCTCTAGATGGCCAGAAATTACACTCTTAGTGAAATTCGTCATCATCACATCACCACTGTAGTCAAAATGAATCACCAACAAATTTCGCATGATGTTTTAACAGCGATTTTAGGCAATCAAAGATCTAAATCACCTGTGTGATGCACCATAATTGGGGCGGATGCAGGATTTGGCGGTAGGGCGTGCGTGAGAGTCCATCATCACCTCAGTCCCAACGATCATGGGGCTTAAGTGGGAAAATGTTGGGAATATGGAGCTCTGCCCTTTGGAAAATACCACACAGTGAACACAGTATGAAAAACTATGTGTTCACATAGTGTACACATACTGCACCACAGTGTGTGCACTGTGTGTTCACTGTGTGTTGACAGTGTGTACACTGTGTGAATAACTCATTGACTATAGGAAATTGGTGAGGTTTTCACACTGTGAACTGTGTGAAACACAGTGTTTACACACAGTCACCACACAATAAACACAATGTCGCCATAGTGTAGCCACACAATTAACACACTGTCCGCACACAGTAAACATAGTGTTTCCATAGTGACACCAAGCATAAACATAGTGTCACCACACAATAATCACATTGTTCGCACACATTAAACACACTGTCCCCACAGTGTATCCACACAATTAACACACTGTCCCCACACAGTGAACATAGTGTTTCCATAGTGTCACCACACAATAAACACAGTGTGTTTACAGTGTGTTCATTCTGTGGACTATGTGAAATTGGTGGGGTTTTCACAGTATGAAACACAGTAAACACATTGTTGTCACAAATTGCTAACATTCAGTAAACACAGTGTCCCTATAGAGTAAACATAGTGTCACCCCACAAAAACACAGTGTGTTTACTCTGTTGACTATGTGAAATTGGTGAGGTTTTCACAGTAAACACATTGTTGTCATATCTTGCCAACATACAGTAAACACAGTGTTAACACATAATATTATTGACTATGTGTTATTGGTGAAGTTTACACTAAACTGTTTGTTCTACAGAGATTCAGTGTCACCACGCAGTAAAACCATCACATGCACAATCTCAAAGTTCTCACCTTCATCCTGCAAGGTACAACAAAAATAAAATATTAACAGTTTTAAATTGATAAAATAAACATTTATTAAACTAACTTTTAAATACATATATTAGCACTTTCATAAGATTATTGCATAATAGTCAGACGAATTATATATGTGTTATAACATTTTTAAGTTAAAAACATACATTAGTCAAATGCATACAGTAACTGCTTCACACTAAAGGTATTGTTTTGCTTAAAATTAGTCAAGGATTTTAATAGTTGTTAAGTTAATGTAGCAATGAGTTTACAATTGTTTAAATTCTTTTTATTGCATATAGACGAACAGTTACTTATATGGTAAAGCATGCTGCAGCTCATCTGTAGGATATGAAATAAACTTTTTTTTTAAATTTAATTACAACACTTTGCTAAGTTACCTTTAGCAAAGATAATTACAATTTAAAATTAAAAAATTACTGCATATTAAGCGCCTGTTGTTAAATATTAGCTGCTGTATCCATTCTCTTTGACATGGAGCGCCTTGTATCTTCACATATTTTAGTCATCTTGGTTTTTACAGCTGCTGACTGGATATCTGGGTATTCTGAAATTATATAAAAAAATATTGTCACAAAACTTCGAAAATATGAAAAGTAGGCCTATCTATCTAAATGAGAATTACATTGTTCTTATAAATTTCTAGGTTCGAGTAGAATACTGTATATGCAGTAATAATTTTGAAATTGACATGTTCGGAAGACAATTAGATTCATAAATTGTGAACTTTAATTGCTAAACCCGGAGTACACCATGAGACTCATGTCAGCATGACAACACAAACTTGAGTAATGAAATGTAATAGCAAGTATCACGCAACATAATGCTGCAATAATAGTTGCCTGCTAGCTTCATTATTTTAATGGTGTCAATGTGGGACTGTAGGTTTCATTATTGCTGACAATACTGTATTCTAATGTTTAATGTGTAGATATGAAACATTAATTTACTTACTGTAATTGAATCGTGGAGCAATGATGTATACATAAACTTTTTAACGGTCTTGGGGCAAATGTCAAATTTTGTTTCACGCAACATAATGCTGCAATAACAGTGGCCTGCTAGCTTCATTATTTTAATGGTGTTAATGTGGGACTGTAGGCTTCATTATTGCTGACAATACTGTAATCTAATGTTTAATGTGTAGATATGAAACATTAATTTACTTACTGTAATTGAATCGTGGAGCAATGATGTATACATAAACTTTTTAACGGTCTTGGGGCAAATGTCAAATTTTGTTTACAACTGTTGAATAGTACATTGCTTGTATTTTTAGTAATTCAACATGGTAATATTAAATCAACGGTCGTAAAGCAGACAATTTACTATAATGCAATTTACTTACTGTAATACATTTGCTGTTGTCTTAAATTAAAACACAAATGGATTATTTAAATCTCAAAAAAATAAATTGACTTACCAACTATTGCAGATACTGTATATTTTTTTGTTTGTCATTGCAGCACATACCAGTCTACTTGCATGTTGGCTTTTTTAAAGATGCAAAATAGTCCTTTGAGACAAAATGTACCTTATCTAGTGCAACCTGAAAATAAAGAAAGTTCTTTAAATTAGTAAATAAATGTTCTGTATATACCTAGTCTTTTAAATACAATGTATTTTGGCAGCCAAAAATACATGATAACTGATTTATATTTTATACATTTTTAACTTCATATTTAAATCAAACAGAGTATTTTAAAACAAACCCTAATTTGCAAGTTGATTTATTATATTCATAGTTTATAAACCAAACAAATAAAACTAACAATCAAGAAAATTAATCACACGAAAATCAAGCTGGCCAGATGTCAAATAATTTCGACCCAGGCCAGACTTTTAACGCTAAAAATGCAATTCATATAGCAAGGCATACATAGAATGTACAGTGCTAGCTAATGTTCAGTAGGCATTTATGCTATATTACTAGGAATAGGCTAGTAGTACTGTTTTAGGAAGGCTAATCGAGCCTAAAACAACTTTAATTGTTGGTGCAAATATATTTCAATTCTTACCAAATGAAGATAACATTTTGGGTTTTGTTTTTATACATTTAGACCTATGTTACATACCAAAAGATTGAATTAAAAAAAATAATAATAATAACTAAATAAAAACGAATTAAAAAGCGTAATTGCCCGTCATAATAATTAATTCCACAATCGAGTTAACGGCCGTTTCCACCAGACCATTTAGGAGGTCAAGCCTAGTTGAGTTAAGTTGATCAATGTGTTTCACTACATAACACACTGAACCACACTGTGTTCACAGTGTGTCTGTTTAAACACACTGTGATTTCTTCTACTCTGTGTATTCCTTAAAATCACACTGTGTTCACTGTGTGCTTACTGTATAAACACACTGTGATTTCTTTTCACACTTATCCCGTAAATTCACACAGTGTTCACTGTGTGTTCACTGTATGTAATTCAAAAACACAGAGTTAACACAGCGTTCACTGTGTGGACTCTATGTGAACACAGTGTGTACTGTGTGGACTCTATGTGAACACAGTGTGTACACACTGTGGTATTTTCCAAAGGGTGGGTGCCCGGAAATTGAACTCCCATATTTCAAAAATCCGTGTTCATAATAATAAAATTAATATATCAACAATACAATACAACAATTATTTTTCTTAATACAATTAAGGGAGTGTGATCGCATCGGTTGCACCTTGAATCCGCCCAAACATAGAAAATAAAAGTTAATACATTGTCTTTGATGATGTATTTACTTTACTTTACCTCCTTCAAAGACGAGTCACATCTATATCAACCCCACCATGGTCATGGGGCAGAGGTGCGAAAATTTGTGGAAATAGTACCTCTTGACGGCCAGAAACGACCCTGTTATGTAGTAAAATTCGTCATTAAATCATCATTATAGTAAAAAAATTTCTCTCGGCAACCATAGAGATCCAATTAATATGTGTGATTTACCAAGAAAATAAAACATTTTCTTTGATGTATATACTTTGTTTAACCGACTTCAAAGCCGTGAGTCGAAACCCACCCAAGCTCCAACATAGTTGAGGCTGAGGTGCGAAAATTTGAGGTAAAAGTACCTCAAGCTGGCCGGAAATGGCACTCTTATAAAATAAGTCACCCAACGGCGGCGGAACGTTTTTTAAAAGTGGGGGGGGGGGACCATTTCTTAAGGTCCAATATGCGAGAGAAGCGAGCATCTAGGTTGGGGCCAGGGAGGGCGCAAAGGGCCCCCTGTTGGCTATACCCTGGTGGTTATTTTATAGCCATCAAGCTACTGTAATATGACTTCATATTTGTTGTAATTTCCAGTGGCGGATCCAGGAATTAGAAATAGAAGGACCCAGGGAGAGTACTTTCACAGATATAAAATTTATACTACCTCAGCCCCACCATGAATGGTGCTGAGGTAAGAAAATTTGTGATTATGGCACATCTAGATGGCGGGAAATTGCACTTCCAGACATAAAATTTGAATATAATTATCTTCATATCTCCATTTTTTAAACAATTTAGGGGCGGAGGCGGGCCGGTTGGGTCCCCATTGAATTCGCCACTGGTTACTTTAGTAGATGGAGGACTCTACCACCTCAGCCCCACCATGGTTGGGGCTGAGGTACGGAACATTTGTGATTATGGCACATCTAGATGGCGGGAAATTACATTCTAAGACTTAAAATTTGAATATAATTTTGCTTATATCTCCATTTAAACAAAAATTGAACAATTTATCCCCCGTCCTTGAATGCGTCACAAATTTCCGAACAAAGACAATCATAGGATTTTTCATAGGACTTTATTCGTTGAAAAGCTACAGGGTAGCCTACGATGTTCCATCATGTCCTTATTAAACACTGTATATGTACCTTTGATGATTTATATTATATTTATTCAACAGTGTTAACGGCT